CTGTCACAGGATTCAGACTATACCTGGGCCAGAGTACGTGGAAGGATTCCTCTCCTCATCCTTCCACAAAACCTTTTCTCTGACCCAGGTATGCACTTTCTCTTTTCTCTCTTTTTTCTTTCTTTCTTTTCTGTTTTCCTCTATGTTTTGTTTCTCTCTGCTGATGGAATATATCATCCTTCCACAAAACCTTTTCTCTGACCCAGTTGAGTCCAACACTCATTACAATCAGTTACACTCCTTTACAGTATTTCTTTTCACATTACATACAATGGTGGGTTGCTACACTAACCGTAGCGGTTAGTGTAGCGTAACACAGCAGAATTGCTGTTAGCGCTAAGTGTAGCATAGCAGAATTCCGCCACAACACCGCTAACGCTACGCGCGTGGGCCACAAAAAAGGGCCCACTATGCTGCGCTACAGCGCTTTTTAGCGGTTTTTGGCCGCTTTTTCAGCTAAAAGCGCTGTAGCGCAGCGTAGCATAGAAAAAAAAACGCTAAAAACAAGCTAACACTACATTTTTTTGATAAAAAAAGTGCCGCTACGCTACGCTTTTTGGGCCAAAAGCATAGCGGCCCACCGCTGTTACATACTACATATTTTCTCAGACACACTCTTTACACTTATGCTTTCTCAAATTCTCATATGCTTTATAGGATAACAGTAGTACACTCATTGTGAATCTTGCCGGCTTTTGAGGTGCAGAAAAGGTACGAGAGAACTTTGTTGCCGTTATATTGCAGTAAGAAGAGCTTGTATTTATACACGAGAGGGATAATAGAGACATCGGGTTATAGGGAGAGAGATACGAGATGAATGTGAGGAGTCCCATTAGATGGGACGACTAGTATTACAATAAGATAAAGAAATGAGACCGGACTTAGTTATATTCAGTCCGTCTTTAGTAAGTCTAATATACAAGGTAGTGAGATCAGAAAGATAAGAAGCGAGAAGAAAGTAAGATAGCCAAGAGCGGCTGACAACATCTAGGAATAAGGAAACAGGAACAGAGGAGAGTGACCGAGAGCGGTCAGTAGACTCTCAGCCGTTGGATGAAGCTCCGTCGGGGTCATTACCTCATCCGGAAGTCAGGGCTTCACATCATTCAGAGTCTTCATCTTTTGGGATTGTT